TGCATCTAGTCCAGGACGGCTTGCCATCATTGATGAAACAATGAATTCTGAATTATACCAGCAAATTTTGAAGGAAAATGTCAGGACATCTGTCCGAGAACTGTATCTCAAGAGAAAGTGGGTCATGCAGCAAGACAACGACCCCAAGCACACAAGTCGTTCTACCAAAGAATGGTTAAAGAAGAACAAAGTTAATGTTTTGGAATGACTGAGTCAAATTCCGGACCTTAATCCAATTGAAATTTTGTGGAAGGACCTGAAGCAAGCAGTTCATAGAAGGAAACCCACCAACGTCACAGAGTTGAAGTGGTTCTGTACTGAGGAATGGGCTAAAATTCCTACAAGCCGTTGTGCGGGACTGATCAGCAGTTACAAGAAACGTTACTCGCAGTTATTGCTGCAAAAGGGGGTCACACCAGATACTGAAAGCAAAGATTCACATACTTTTGCCACTCACAAATATTTAACACCGGATCATTTTTCTCAATAAATAAATGACAAAGTATATATTTTTGACTCCTTTGTTTGATTGGATTCTCTTTGTCTACTTTCAGGATTTGTGTGAAAATATAATTATGTTTTGGGTCATATTTATGCAGAAATATAGACAATTCTAAAGGGTTCACAAACTTTCAAGCAGCACTGTATATTAGGGTCAGAACCTTTCAACTTGTGCTGTTTTGAGCACTCGAATCTTGAGCTGTTGTGGGTCTGAACTGAATAATGAATTGTTTATGGATGTGAAATGTAGTAGCTACTTAGTGCCACACACCCAAAATGCAACTATATCATCATAAAGTAACATAAAAGGAGTTCTTAAGTGATGGTTCAGGACAAGCTTGATCTGCCAATCAGTGCTTACCTCACTCTAGTGATTGTCCTTCAGGCGTCCCTCCGCCTCCACATCTCCATCTGCACTTCTTTAGGATATCCTGCCAGATAGCTATTTTCGTCCATTATGTAGTCCCATAGCCTTATCCTGGAGCCAGATATTTTACGTTTAGTCCTTAAAGATTTATATAGGCAACTCATAAATGAACTTTAAAGGCAGATACATTATCCCTTCTATGCATTATTTGTGTGATTTATGTCATTCATTAGCAATATTGTTCACTTTGATCTAGTCTACTTTAAAGAAGGAATTGTTGAGAAAAGTAAAAGAAGATTAAGGCAACATGATGCATTAGGATTTGTTATTCAGTGTGAATTAGTTAAGTCAGTAAACCTCAAAATGAGATCCTTTTTTAATGTACAATAAACTGATAAAAAGCTAATCTGACTTGTGTAAGTCTTCTGAAGTCATATGATAACTTTGTATGAGCAATAAATATAAATCTGAAATTTACACCTGACTGTTCAAAGAGGTTGGTACTTTTTTATGTTTTCGAAAGAAGTCTCTTTCGAAGGCCGCATTTATTTGATGAAAAATATAGTAAAAACAGTAATATTGTGAAAAACATAATACACCTATGTATTTGAATATATTTTCAATTGTAATTTATTCCTGTGATGGCAAAGCTACATTTTCAGCTCCAGTCTTCAGTGTCACATGACCCTTCAAAAATCATTCTAATATGCTGATTTGATGCTCAAGAAACATTTCTGATTATCAAAGCTGGAAACTGCTTGATATTTTTGCGAAACCATAATACTTTTTTTTTTTTCAGGAAAACAAATGTTTTTTTCATTGTTCAAAAAATCTAAAGTTCAAAAGAACAGCATTTATTTGAAATCGTTTTTTGTAAAAAAAAATATGAAAAGCACTTTTGATGAATACACCCTTGCTGAACAAAGGTAATAATTTCTTTTTAAAAAAAGCTTACTGATTACAAACTTTTTGAACAGAAGTGTAAGTATTTAATAATTTTCCTCTCCACTGAGCTAAAACCACTGGACCACTGGGTCAGTGAAATTAACTCAAACTTGTAAATGAATCATTTAGAGTGGTTTAGTCATCAGCCAATTAATCAAAAAGACTTAAACAACTCATTCATATTTAAATCGGCCATTGGTCTAACTTGTTTTATGTGACTCAAAAAGCCTTGTATGCTGAATCAAACTATTAAACTGTGAAGGCTGTGAGGGATATAGGCTTACCATCTTTCCAATGGCACACACTGTATAAAGGTAATACATCATGTAATTTTCACTAGTACTCACAACTTTCAAAACTGTTTCATGGCATTTTTGTCTACTGAAAGTAGACAGAAAGAAAGTAAAAATACTTTTTATGAATGACTAAAATGATGTGCTAAAACCAGAAAAGCTTTTCCTTTCTGTATTATTGAAAAGTTTTGCCTATCGGCGAAAATGACGAAAAATTCATCATTGAATTCAGTGATGTCATCATCCAGCTCAGTTCAGTTTAAATAGTATCTGTGCAATCAAGTCGACGACATCGCTGGAAAATAAGTGTCCCCAACTAAGCAAGCCAGAGGCGCGGTGATAGAATGGAGAAAAAACCTTGAGAAACCAGGCTCAGTCGGGGGGCCAGTTCTCCTCTGGCCATGGATATATAGGTAAATGCACCAGGAACTGAAAAGAGAAGTTCATACTCAAAGACCTACTTTCTAAACAAGGCTCACATCAAATTATAGGTGTTCAGTTGTTGTTGCAGAAAAATTATGCAAACACATATTAGGAGACTAAATAAAGATTTTAATATTAAACTGTTTCTGTACTCACGTTCATTATTGCGTTTTGTTTGAGCATTCTTCAAACAGTCAATCATCGAGAATACCTTAAAGGGCAAATATTTCTTCATACCACTATATATAAATTAATATGTGGCGTTTGAAGTGAAATTAAAATCCCTCATCACACTCTTTCCCAGACACTGAATGTGCATGGCAGAGTCGCAAGATTTGAGTCTTTGCAACTTTACAGATCTTCTTTATGCACCAAGAGCTTGTAACACTCCAAAGAGAAAGGAAAACTTGAAATCGCATCATATGACCCCTTTAAACATCGATTCAAGACCTAAAGTGATATGGATGTATCACTGCCATAACTGGTTCAATATTGCTTTTAATTTTCAGTGCTTTTATAAACTGACAGCATGTCACGAGATGAAAATCAGAACAGAAAACAGGATGTTCTAAACTCGTTTTGCTTCAGGACACCGACTTTATATTACAGTAGATTTACACTACAGATGACCTCAAAGCCAACACACATGAAAACTTGGATCTCAAATACAAACGCGTGTCAACAAAGTGCAAAACATACTGTGTGTTCCCGCCGTTCCTATCAGGTAGGTCCATGCTTCCTTTACGCGATCACCACAAGTTCAATTCAAATCATCTTCCAATAAAGTCAACGAGAAGTGACATTAACAAAATGGTTTGAATTTCAAACGTATGCCTGTTATTTGAATGAAGAGTTGAAAAGCTGAATGCACGATGAATGACTTTCACTGTTACTACTGCTGTCATCTAGTGGTCAGTTGAAGAAGTGCGTAGAGTAGGCTACTGTTGTTATTATTTATATTCCAGTGTATTAATTACAATTTATTATTAATTAAAATGTTTTATACACAATTTTCCCAGTTACTTTGTCTAATTTTGCTCCGCTAAAAAAAATATTTTCAAAATAATTTAGGCCACAGCCAAACTATGCATCTCAGAAATAATGTTCGACTAAATTCGAAATAAATAAATAGATTGAATTTGTTTAAAATGTTTTCCCCCCCTAAAACGTACTAGGAGCAAGGCTGTTTAATAATGTTATTCAGGATATGCTTAGAGACATATTCAACACATATAACTGTAATTTATTACTAGTGTAGCCTACATTACATACTGTCAATTACATAATCAGATTTAAAAAATATATAATTACTTGTAATTAGATTTTAGCCTAGGCTACTAAGGTACATAAAAAACACTTGTAATCAAATGCACGCATTTCATATTATTCATCAAATAGCAATAAATTAAGTAATAATTTATTGATTCTCTCCGAGTTCTTCCCTTTTCCTTTCTAAAATGGCCTTCCACTTATATGCATTCAGAAAGTCTTTCAGTTTTGGACATTCACATTACGAGTCAGGTGGCTGTAATTACACAGAAAACTGAGAGGCCACACAGCATTTGACCATTGGATTTACAAAAATAATTTCCATTTTAAAAAGTGTTTTCTCAATATTTCGACATTGCATCAACTATGAACACATTCATTTTTATTTAAATATCACTCAGTGGGTTATTTAATGTTTTACTGTCTTTAAGGCTTTTGTTTTTCAAACATGCTAAAATGCACGAATTCACATTATTACACATTTAAATGTAGGCCTAAAATAGAGATTCCTGTTTTTTTTTTGTTTTTTTGTCAGCCGAACCAAGTACCTGCTGAAATTTTAAGGTAATAAGATAATATTTAGTAACACATTTGCATGTTCACAATTCATAGTTAATAAGTAATCATAAGTTATCAAAACGTGCTCAGATATTACCTACAAGTACAGTATATTACCTAAAATGTGTAGGCTAATGTAATGGATTACATTAGTAACTACAATTTTTGTCATGTAATTTGGAATCATTACAACAATTTATAAATAATCTACTCTGCACCGCCTCTTATGGACCTTTAATTTAAAACACTGTGCTGTGATACTTTTAATAAACTGTAACTACAACATAAACGTACAGGTCTATATGTATTTTATATAGGCTATGCTTTGAGTATTCGCGTTTTGTTTTACAGAAAACGTTATTCATGTTATAAAACATTTTTAAACAAACCATGACAGAAATATCACTTGCATTCCCATTAATCTCAGTTTTGCTTATTTAAATTTGCATTCTGCCCTAATGTTGGCGCCAGTGCTTAAAAGACTAGGCCTACTTGAAGTAAATAAATTATTTGTACTGCTGTATTATGGGGATTTTTTTCGTTTTAAGTTATTTTTTTTTCTTCATTGTGAACTAAATATCTTGTGAAACAATTCGTCAAGACAACGTAGCTATGTATACGAGCATATGCAGTTATGTTTACGAGGAAATTAAACTGAAAGAATATAGGTCGTGTGCCATTTATGAATATGGCTTCGAACTATCAAGAGGATTCGGGTGAGTTTCATATAGTCTATAATATTCTGGTATCAAATAAACACAATTTCATAAAACACACAATGTAAGTTGTCTACAAGCCCACTTAGTCTAGAGAAGGCAGTCTTTTCAGCAATGTATCAATCTCAATCGAGTATTGCGGTGATCTTACAGCTTTTCTGTGGTTTCGTTTAACACTCTCTCGGTTAATGTGTTATCCTCTTTTCTAAATATAATTTTTCTAAAACCAGTCGAGACCACTTGTCAAACGTTTTACTACAGTGAATATTTCAAGGGGTAGCCCATGTTCGTTTCGGAAAGTCAAAGTCTTAAAGATATGACGGGGCATGTTGTCACAATGGGAACCAGCGGCCAGTTAAAGTTGATCAGTCAAGTTGACTTAGCCAAAACTGTACAGGTTTCGTTTTCTCCAAATTGTATATTGATTCAAATTGTTCTCAGAATAATATTTTTTTTCTTCCTAGATGAAGGCAGCTACCAGCAATCTAGTGAAAGTCTCCCAGAGTTCGGTGACAGTCACACAGATTCTGAGGCAGCCAGCGATTCTGGATCGGACTCTGAAGAAGATGCACTAACATCTAGCAAGGTACATCTCTTAAGTTCAGCAATGTATCAATCTCAATCGAGTATTGCGGTGATCTTACAGCTTTTCTGTGGTTTCGTTTAACACTCTCTCGGTTAATGTGTTATCCTCTTTTCTAAATATTATTTTTCTAAAACCAGTCGAGACCACTTGTCAAACGTTTTACTACAGTGAATATTTCAAGGGGTAGCCCATGTTCCTTTCGGAAAGTCAAAGTCTTAAAGCCTAAAATGTGTAGGCTAATGTAATGGATTACATTAGTAACTACAATTTTTGTCATGTAATTTGGAATCATTACAACAATTTATAAATAATCTACTCTGCACCGCCTCTTATGGACCTTTAATTTAAAACACTGTGCTGTGATACTTTTAATAAACTGTAACTACAACATAAACGTACAGGTCTATATGTATTTTATATAGGCTATGCTTTGAGTATTCGCGTTTTGTTTTACAGAAAACGTTATTCATGTTATAAAACATTTTTAAACAAACCATGACAGAAATATCACTTGCATTCCCATTAATCTCAGTTTTGCTTATTTAAATTTGCATTCTGCCCTAATGTTGGCGCCAGTGCTTAAAAGACTAGGCCTACTTGAAGTAAATAAATTATTTGTACTGCTGTATTATGGGGATTTTTTTCGTTTTAAGTTATTTTTTTTTCTTCATTGTGAACTAAATATCTTGTGAAACAATTCGTCAAGACAACGTAGCTATGTATACGAGCATATGCAGTTATGTTTACGAGGAAATTAAACTGAAAGAATATAGGTCGTGTGCCATTTATGAATATGGCTTCGAACTATCAAGAGGATTCGGGTGAGTTTCATATAGTCTATAATATTCTGGTATCAAATAAACACAATTTCATAAAACACACAATGTAAGTTGTCTACAAGCCCACTTAGTCTAGAGAAGGCAGTCTTTTCAGCAATGTATCAATCTCAATCGAGTATTGCGGTGATCTTACAGCTTTTCTGTGGTTTCGTTTAACACTCTCTCGGTTAATGTGTTATCCTCTTTTCTAAATATTATTTTTCTAAAACCAGTCGAGACCACTTGTCAAACGTTTTACTACAGTGAATATTTCAAGGGGTAGCCCATGTTCGTTTCGGAAAGTCAAAGTCTTAAAGATATGACGGGGCATGTTGTCACAATGGGAACCAGCGGCCAGTTAAAGTTGATCAGTCAAGTTGACTTAGCCAAAACTGTACAGGTTTCGTTTTCTCCAAATTGTATATTGATTCAAATTGTTCTCAGAATAATATTTTTTTTCTTCCTAGATGAAGGCAGCTACCAGCAATCTAGTGAAAGTCTCCCAGAGTTCGGTGACAGTCACACAGATTCTGAGGCAGCCAGCGATTCTGGATCGGACTCTGAAGAAGATGCACTAACATCTAGCAAGGTACATCTCTTAAGACATTTCAAAGGAAAGCATGTAAAACATTTCAAAGGAAAACATGTAAAAATGTACTGTATCAACAATACTCAATAAAAAGTGAAAGTATCTTCCACAAAACATACTTAAGCTTAAACTTAAAAACATTTACATATGTAATTAAATCCATATATCTAGAAATTATGCCCACATGTAATTAATTTAAGTATTTAAAAGCAATTATTTGTCTTAGCTTTACAACACACTGGCTCTAAGACACACTCCATGCTATCCTGAAACCTGTTTTATTTATGCATTTTTGAATAAAATGGCAGATTGCTTTATCTTGCTAAGGCTAAATGTTAGTTATCAATTTATGCATCCTAAGTACATCAAAGTTGTGGCCTTTATTTGGCTTTTAAAAATGTCCACATTAAAATGTTCTGTGCACTACTACCAAATGAGTAACACATATGAATAAAATAAATAAAATATAAATAATATAACAGTCTCACAGTTCAAAAGATGATTAGTAAGAACCACATTATTGAATGTGAATGCAGCTGGAGCTTAATAGGTGAATAAATCTTAATCAATTATGATGCTTTGTGTTCAAGCGGAATGTCTGTATGCATTACAATCGTGGTCACTGCCGTTTTGGGGACAAGTGTAGGAATGAGCACATATGCAAGGACTTCCTGAAGGGTTCGTGCAAGTTTGGTGCTGGATGTCGTCTCAACCACAACAGTCAGAGTTCATCGTCAGGACAGGGCAGACGAAGAAGCAGACCCTCATCTGCAGGTTTGTGTGTATAGGGGTGTAAAAGTATACTGATAAATTCTACATATCGATAAAAAATGTACTGTATCAACAATATTCAATAAAAAGTGAAAGTATCTTCCACAAAGCATACTTAAGCTTAAACTTAAAAACATTTACATATGTAATTAAATCCATATATCTAGAAATTATGCCCACATGTAATTAAAGTATTTAAAAGCAATTATTTTTCTTAGCTTTACAACACTCTGGCTCTAGGACACACTCCATGCTATCCTGAAACCTGTTTTTTTTTATTGTTAAATGGTGAATATAATATAATTAGTGCTGTCAATCGATTAAAAAATATTAACTAATTAATCGCACATTTTTCTGAAATTAATCGCGATTAATCCCACCTAACATTAAAGTTTTTAAATATACTTTTATATTGCAATAATTTCACATTCAATCTTCAAATGAATGTACAAACAACAAAAAGACAGTATATTTTTGAATATTTGTTTAATGGCATCTTTTTTTTAATGACTGAAGGCCAGTATCAATGATACCGATACCAATGATTTATCTATAAAATTGCCCCCCCCCCATATTTAACTATTGACTATAGCCATTCAACATTACAGTATACATAATTGAGAGCTATCAATTTGAACAATTATTAGGGTTTAAAAAAAATTATTTAAAGTGAACTTAAAACAATCTTGACATAAACCCATTACAATAAATGTCATAACACAGTGCCGCGACGGCAACAACAATACTACAGCGAGAATAAAAGTTACGCCTTCTTTCTTTGCATGAACATTTGGGCGGCGTTATGCAAATATTCCCACATAGTGACGTAGACATGTGGGGGCGTGTTAGAACGAGCCATTTTAGGTAGGCGTGGCTGACTCAACTTTTATAAAGAATATCTCTTTGGATTTGAGACTTTAGTCTTTGCAACTTTACAGATCTTCTTTATGCACCAAGAGCTTGTAACACTCCAAAGAGAAAGGAAAAATTTTAATCGCATCATATGACCCCTTTAAATGTGAGATTCTGTAAACGAGATCTAAATTTAGCGGGAACGGTCGGGTCGGGAAGAAAATTATTCTAAGCGGACAGTGGGTGAACAAAGAGTGAATATATAGCGTGAGCGGATGGAATATAACCTTGCGGGAGCGGGACTAAAAGAAACAGTCCCGCGCAGACCTCTACTTAATGGTTTCATAACATTGAGCTCAAAGCTTCTCATGTTCATGTAAATAGGTAAGTCAACCCTGTTTACACTGTTACCATTCCGAGAGGATTTTCCAACATATTTTAAATTGTATTAGCCTAATTTAGCTTGAGATGGAACTATGCCGTTTACTAATACTTTAACACGTTATCTGATATAGGCTAACGTTTAAAATCTTACAAAAATGTACATTAGTCAAACTGGAAACAGGAAACCTTTCATAGAAAGGCAAAGTTCGACTGACATGTCACGCAAACGTTTTGATGTCTCTGTTTAGAAGTGCGAAGATGAATTTAAACAAGATGAGCTATGAATTATGACCTTAAATATGATGTCCGCAGTTATGCTTTAGGTAGGTGACACAATTGTTCTACAGTAATTTAGTACTTTTCAAGTGTCTGTTCTTTATCAGAGTGTTTTTCTTTAGAAAACTTTTACTTCACAATATTCCAAAGCATAATATTGTAGGCTACTCTTTCCTGCAATACCTTTCGTATTAAATATGATTTAATACTTAATTATATTAGAAATCTAGTACTTTCTTGAGGATTTTCCAACATATTTTAAATTGTATTAGCCTAATTTAGCTTGAGATGGAACTATGCCGTTTACTAATACTTTAACACGTTATCTGATATAGGCTAACGTTTAAAATCTTACAAAAATGTACATTAGTCAAACTGGAAACAGGAAACCTTTCATAGAAAGGCAAAGTTCGACTGACATGTCACGCAAACGTTTTGATGTCTCTGTTTAGAAGTGCGAAGATGAATTTAAACAAGATGAGCTATGAATTATGACCTTAAATATGATGTCCGCAGTTATGCTTTAGGTAGGTGACACAATTGTTCTACAGTAATTTAGTACTTTTCAAGTGTCTGTTCTTTATCAGAGTGTTTTTCTTTAGAAAACTTTTACTTCACAACATTCCAAAGCATAATATTGTAGGCTACTCTTTACTGCAATACCTTTCGTATTAAATATGATTTAATACTTAATTATACTAGAAATCTAGTACTTTCTTACTTTTACTCAAGTAAAAGTAATTCAAAGTTTTACTTGAGTACAAGAAAGTACTACATTTTTAATGTTCTATGTTAATAGAATGTTTAATGTTTAAAGGTAAAAAAACAACAAAAAACTTTTATTTATGAAATGTAGTGCAGTAAAAAGTATGACATTATGCTTTTGAATGAAGTAAAAGTTTTCCAAAGATAAACACTGATAAAGTACAGATACTTTTTAAATTGACTTGCGTAAAGTAAAAATACTTCACTACTATCCAACTCTGCATGTGATTGTAGATTGATTCTGTTTGATCCAGTATGCCATTTTTCACATAGCCTACTCTGCTCCAGTGTTGGGGGTAACGCATTACAATTAACGCAAATTACGTAATCAGATTACTTTTTCAAGTAACTATTAAAGGAACACATTACTTTTAAATTTTCAAATTGTTTTCCCATTTATTCACTGGTGAGGTGCAAAGGCAGAGTCACTTTCTTCAGCCTGAGGCTTATTAATTTCACTTTTAGTGTGAAAGGACTTTACAGTTGACAAAAATACAACTTTTTGGTTTCTTGTTATTAAAAAAATAAATAAGGAAGCCAGGTAACAAAAATGAATGCCAATGTAATGTAATGCATTACTTTCCATAAAATGTAACGAAGTAACACAATAGTTACTTTTTTATGGAATAACGCAATATTGTAATGCATTACTTTTTTAAAAATAACTTTTCCCAACACTGCTTTGCCGAGATGTTAAGAGTAATATTTATATAACAGAACAATGAAAGTTTCAATGTCACATTAAAATCTCACTTCAGGGAAACACTTCAGGAATAACAGCATTATCTAACAACAACATGGCAATAGGTACGTCTGTTGGCTTATTTATCATTTTATGTTGGTTTCAGTTTCTTTAGTAAGAGAACTTAATGAGGAAAGAACATTCCCAAAGTAGTTTCCATACCGAGCGATTGACTAATTGCTCATTTTCATTGCATTCATTCATTCAGTCAGTCATTCATCCATTCATTTAAAGCCTCAGGTAATCACTTCGAGTGGCAGCTGTTTAATGGACAGCAGTGGGGTTATATCTTAAATGATTTTGTCATTGAGGCCCATTACTGTCAGCCAGGGGCAAATGGGATCACCATCAACCTCAGCATAGGGTAAGTTGGTCTTCAACAAATTCATTACAGATATAATCTTAACAGTATTTTAATAAGTATTAAGCATTATTATCATCATCACACACAACCAGATAAATTAAGAATATATTATTAAATATTAAATTGCCTTTTCTATTCACTGCACAGGCCTGCCTATATTGACTTTGATGAAATGACAGTCGATGGACCTCTTGTTAACCTCAGTGTACGACGTAATATGCTGCTGTCTCCTCCTAACCAGAAAGAATTAATAGGCTGGTACTACAAAGATAACCATCAGTGGTGTGAATATGGATCTCATGTAAGTTGTTCTAGACATCTAGACAAATAAACCAGCATACACCAAATATAACACACATTTATAGTCTGTTTATAACCCTTTATTTTGTTTTCTCTGTTATTTCTGGGATCAGGTGGGAGGTCATCTTCGATTAGAAGTGATTTTATAGAGCAGCAGTACAACAGAAACCCAAGGGGCTCAGTCCAGTTTACTGTAGGAAGCACGACTTACAAGTTGGACTTCACTGGTAAGTAGACAAATGAGACTGACCTTCATGGCTGTGACACAATATTTTAGTGTATTTCTCTTGAAATTAAGAACCGTCAACTTCCTGTGTAAGAAATTGTTTTCATGTGTGTGTTTTGTTTTTTTGGAATGTTGTGGCCATGACTCAAACCAATCTGTCCACATACATGTTGAGGAAAGTGAGACGGCGGACAAAATTCAATGAAGTAGTAACAGACAACAGCAGTAATCAAAACAGGTATCGCTTTATTAGTTCTAGCTGTGACTTAAAGGGTTAGTTCACCCAAAAATGAAAATTAGCTTGTGTTTTACTTACCCTCGAAGCATCCTTGGTGTATATGACGTTCTTCTTTCAGACGAATCCAGTCGGAGTTAAATTAAAAATTGTCCTGGCTATTCCAAGCTCTATCATTGCAGTCAGCGGGTGGTGCAGTTGAACAGTCCACAAGTCGTCAAATAAAGCTCACGCAGAGGATTTCGATATAAACCAAGAGGAGACTGGTTTTCCTTTGCTAAAGTAAGGAAACTTTGCTTCCTTTGCTCCTATAAACAAACTCGTGAGACTTGCATATCTCAGAGGCGCGCGCGCTGCACATACGTCATACACCTTCCGCCGGAACGAATCCACGTATGACAGATAACGGAAGTGAGAAAAAAGTGTTTATTACGCTTGAATTATGGATATTTTTCTTACAAAAGTCATGGATTCGCTACAGGGGGCCTTTATTCATCCCCCAGAGCTGTCTGCGGCACGTTTTATTATGAATGCGTGAGCTTTATTTGACGACTTGTGGACTGTTCAACTGCAACACCCGCTGACTGCAATGATAGAGCTTGGAATAGCCAGGACAATTTTTTATATAACTCCGACTGGATTCGTCTGAAAGAAGAAAGTCATATACACCTAGGATGCTTCGAGGGTAAGTAAAACAGTCTAATTTTCATTTTTGGGTGAACTAACCCTTTAATGCCTCTGGTTTGACTTTATTCACGAAATAGCAGAATGAATTACAGTGTAAATTGTTTGTAAATTCATTCTTATGTAAATTTTTGCATTGAAAGCAATAATTTATCTTGGAATGGTTTTACAAAGTCATATTGTAACACTGTTTACACTCTTTAAGAAGTTAACCTACACATTGTGTGTGTGTGTGTGAAACTATTATTATAAAACAGATAGTTCCGGTCCTTGATTCTGATTGGTTGAGCCAAGTTCGAAGCTGTTGTAAATTACTCTACAAACATACACCTTTGTTTACATTTGTGTGTTGCTCGGCAACCACTTGGAACCACAACCGTTTCTGAGGAACTACATTGTTTGGCGGAAGAATAATGTTTTTATTAATATCATTACACTTTATTTGCTCTGTTTTATTTTGTGAAACCTTACTACGTATATGGTATAACTGTTTTATTAAAGCAATAAGCCCTGTGAAGCCATGGTTTACAGTGAATTTATAACAGCTAAGGGGCGTTGTTAGGCACGAAGCGAAGCGCGAACCACGGCTTCTTGGGGCTTATTGCTTTATCGAAACTATACTCTATACAAAAATTATAAGTGGCATTGCTAAATGTAAAAAAGCTTTATTCTTGTAGTGCCACAGTATTTACACTCTTCAGGAAGTCACCTTACGAAATTATGTATAAATTGTTTGTAAAAACTTTCTTGTGTAAATTGAATGTGTAGTTTAGGTAAGATATTTTTTTGTATTAATTCTAATAACTCCACAGTATTCAGAAAGTCAACTTTTTTTCCTTTAAACCATTCATTTCAAAATGAAATGTAACATCCATGTAAGATTTGTTTTTTTCAAATTCTAATAGCATCACTATTTATTCTCTTCAAGAACCCGACCTAATAATTTATTCTTAAATCATTCATAAAATGATTCTTATATAAACTAAATTTGACATTTATGTTAGAATGATTTTACAAATTCTTATAGCAACACGGGAAGCCTTACAATTTTATGTATTTAAATTGTTAACTATTTTTGTAAATTGAGTGAGCAAGAATAGTTTTTACAAATTCGTATAACTCCACAGTGTTTACACTCTTCAGAAAGTCAATGTACAAATTAAATGTCCATGGAACAATTCTTTTATCAATTAAATTTAACAATTATATAAGAATTATTTAACAAATTCTTAAACCACCACAGTATTTATACTTTTCACAAATGTTTCTGTTTATAAATGTTTTCTTACATAAACTAAGACATATAGCTTTATGAATTTTAAAGCAACATTATACTCTTCAGGAAGCCAATATACAACTTTCTGTTACAAATTGTACAAACATTCTTATGCAACAATTTATATAAGATTTTTTTTAAGTCGCAGTGTTTACACTACAATATTATGTAGTAATATAAATTCTTCATAAAATGATTTGTACATTTATTCACAACAATTATGTACAATGTGTTTAATCAACTGTATTATCAACTATTTGTGTGTTTTAATAAACTATTTATAGAAGTTCCTTTGTCTCATTTTTCATGAAGAATTCCCTATACCTTTAAAACTGTATTTGTCAACAAACACCAAAGCCTTTGCTTTCTTTTTATCACATGTAGTTTACCAACTCTGGCATCTCCCTCAGCAAACCCGTCAAATTCTTCCTCTCATTACATCTGGGAGTTTATGGGGGATGAGGGTATTTGGACCGAGTACCAGAAACCAGTGAGTTCTAGTGTCTATACTCAACCTACCAACACTGTTAAAACATCCCGTACGTGTGTGTGTATTTATATATATATATATATATACATATATTAGTGCTGTCAGACGATTAATCGTGATTAATCGCCTCCAAAATAAAAGTTTTTGTTTGCATAATATATGTATACATATTATGTATATATAAATACACACACATGCATGTATATATTTCAGAAAAAAATTTTATGTTTATATATTAAATATATTTATTTATAATATAAATTATGTGAATATATAGACATGCAAATACATGTAAATATTTTCAAAATATATACTGTATGTGTGTGTATTTATATATACATAATATACATAAACACATTATACACATTAATCTTTTGACAGCACTAATATACATATATATATATATATATATTAGTAACACCTTTTATTTCACAATTATGACTTTTTTTTCTAAGAATTGCAAGTTTATATCTCACAATTCTTACTTTTTTCTCAGAATTCTGCATGTGTATGCAATCAGGTCATGTGTCTAAACATTTGGGGGAAAAAAGAATTAAGAGATGTAAACTCAGATTTCATAGAAAGAATTCAGAATTGTGAGATATAAACTGAAAAAAGGCCTGAATGTGAGATAAAAATGTGCAATTACCTTTTTTATATTTGTATTCCGAAATAAGCTTCCATTTATTTCGTAGTCAAGAAAAATAGTTACGTCTCAAAATATTATCAAATGGATTGCTTCTTTAAAATAAAATAAAATAAAATATTGGTTTTATTATTGATGTTATGTGTGCATTCAAATAAATACTGTTCTCTTATCGTCACAAGCTCGTATATCATCACAAGCTCGCTGGCAGTTCAAAGACATGGATGGTCAATGGAAGGACTATATTAAAGTAAATAAACCTTTACAAAACTCATTTTTATATACATTTATTATTAATATTTTAAGTGATGGTTGCAGAAGTTAAGTGGTCTTATGGGTATCTTGCTAGTGAATTAATTCTATAACTGTATCTAGGTGATTTATTCAGAAAAATAAACAGCAGTTTACAAAAATATGTCTAATGCAGCTTTCATGCTGTATTCTGTATTCTTGCACAACAACACTACGACAGTCACGCCTTTTGCGTTCTGCGTCAGAAACTTGGACTTTGTCTTTGTGTAGGGTGGTTCTTGGGGATGTTGCAGTGTGTCATGTCAAGATATTGAAGCGCAGTACCAGCAGGACTCCACTGGGATAATGCGTTTCAGAGCGGACATATTCAGCTATGAGCTAGACTTCTCAGGCGTGTGAATGCACAGACTAACAGAAATGCACGTTATTTAGTACAAATGACTTTAAGTCACTTGTGTTTTGTTGCAGACATGACCCAGACCAACCTGTCCACTAACGCCACGAGATCTGTACGCCGCCTTTAGCAATAAGACCTCACCTGCCTCTTTTTATGTTTACTTTAATATTTACTTGTAGCTTTATATGATTGATCTCAGGACGCCGGTTCACGCAATGTCTGCTGGCCATTTTCAGAAAATGTGATTCAAAATTATGTTCACTTTGTCCATGCTAACCCATGTGCCTATATTGTTTTATTAATTGCCATAAAAAGTGGTTCTCGTGGTGATTATGTTCTTGAAACGGTGTTGTTCCTATATTTCTGTTTATTCAACAATTGACCAAAATTTGCTAAAATCATTTTCTTCACATACAAATAAAGATAACTCTCACGAAGAACAAGTCCAGGTCACTTTTAATAAATTGCACCATTATCTTCATGACAATGAAGCATAGTAGCACACCCTTCCAAATTATTATTTTTTTTATTAAATAATAAATACAACTATGGTTTATAATCATTTTTATCACTTAATTGAAATTATGGAAACAATGTCAATTTTAAAAGTCTTAAAATAGGTTACTATTAGGCTTTTCTAATATATGTACATAAAATGGGAAATATGACCTGCACTTTTCTAGACAGACTACATTAGATGAATATTTGCAATGTCAGTCTGATGAATTGTATAATTGAATAGATTGAATCAGTAAAGACTAGCTAGCTGTGGACCAACTGTTACTGTTTTCTACTCAGAAACATATTTTTCATAAAGGAAAATGATGCATATTCAAATGCTTTTCTTTCTACTTCTAAACTATCTGTGGTGCCATATGCTTCAATAACATCCTCTATGCTTCAATAATAACAAGAATAATAAGAAATGCCTGAAGTGAAAATGTATTACCCTTTAAATAATCATTTTATTTGATTCCAAAATCACCATCTTTCCAACCATCCAGTTCACTTTTTTTTTAATTAAAACAATCCAAATGTTTTATCTACATTAATCGAGACTATTTGAAAACTGCATGTAGTGAAACACTCATACAGAAAGTTCTTTTCACAATCTTCATCACAGACCTGTTATTGCACAACTCTCAACATAAGGCCTCTCATTCATAAGACCAGGAAAAGCATTCCCTTTGAATAAAACCTGTCTGGATATTAAAGATTCTCCTCAGGAAAGTGATTCGCTTGCAACAGTATAAAAAAAAAAAAAAGTGGCAGTTCACCTCTATTTACTGTACACTTCATTCATGTTTTGTTTTTCTTCAGAAATAATACACATTTTGGTGATTTGCTGTGTTGCAGTGGTCTGTTTGGTCATGATATAGAATCACATAAGGAATTCAATTGGTCACTTCCTACAACAGGAAACTGCCCATATAATGACAAACAAAAAAGTGGACCTAATGTAATGATCCGTAGCTTCCCCAAGAAACACAACATTACAAGATAATACAGACTGAACAAACACAGGGTAGGAAGTAACAGCAGAGAACCAAAAGGGAAACAAATGTATCAGGCTTCATTCATGAAACGCATACTTCTGTTACAACTTGGTTGTATACAATATGCTACAATTTACCATTTATAGCTGCAATTTATTCAAATAACTATAGGAAACGCATTTTATCCCCAAACCTAAATGTGCAAACTGTATATTTTGCATAAATTGCTTTCTGCATTGACAATTAAGCTAATTTTCCAGCAATTCTCATTACGAAAAAAAAAAAAACTCTCACAGTCTGATCAATCTTTTCACACATTACAAAAATGTAAAACCTCATTTTTGTAACGTGTGAAAAAAATTATAATTTTCAGTATCATGATGCAAAAAAATACACATACAAAGTTGTAAGTAGTTATACCCAACAAACGAAAATTTGATGTTTATCTGCTTACCCCCAGGGCATCCAAGATGTAGGTGACTTTGTTTCTTCAGTAGAACACAAACGAAGATTTTTAACACAAACCGTTGCAGTCTGTCAGTCATATAATGGAAGTGAATGGCAATCATGGCTTTGAGAGTAAAAAAAAAACATACACAAACAAAACCAAATTAAACCCTGCGGCTCGTGACGATACATTGATGTGTAAAGACACAAAACAATCAGTCTGTGCAAGAAACTGAACAGTATTTATATAGTTTTTTACCTCTGATTCACGCAATGTCCGAACGGTTCTGAGTGCGTTCTCAACAGCCGGCGCCTGACGTGTCTTCTTCTTGCTTTACGGCGGATCGCAGACTTATAAGTCCATTACCGCCACCTATCTCTCAAATGGACCATTGACACTATCTACAATCTCAATTAGGAGTGTCAATAGTTTGTTTCTTCAGTAGAACACAAACGAAGATTTTTTAACTCAAACCGTTGCAGTCTGTCAGTCTTATAATGGAGGTGAATGGGAATCACGGCTTTGAGAGTAAAAAAAAAACATACACAAACAAAACCAAATTAAACCCTGCGGCTCGTGACGATACATTGATGTGTAAAGACACAAAACAATCAGTCTGTGCAAGAAACTGAACAGTATTTATATAGTTTTTTACCTCTGATTCACGCAATGTCCGAACTGTTCTGAGTGCGTTCTCAACAGCCGGCGCCTGACGTGTCTTCTTCTTGCTTTACGGCGGATCGCAGACTTATAAGTGCATTACCGCCACCTATCTCTCAAATGGACCATTGAAACTCCTAATTGAGATTGTAGATAGAGTGTCAATGGTCCATTTGAGAGATAGGTGGCGGTAATGCACTTTAGAAGTCGGCGATCCGCCGTAAAGCAATAAGAAGAAGACTCCTCACGCGCCTGCTGTTGAGAACGAACACGCTCAGGAGGACACGCCGCTGCTCAGGACAGTTCGAACAGTTCGGACATTGCAGTGAATCAGAGGTAAAAAACTATATAAATACTGTTCAGTTTCTTGCACAGACCGATTGTTTTGTGTCTTTACACATCAATGTATCATCATGAGCCGCGGCGTTAATTTGGTTTTGTTTGTGTATGTTTTTTTTTTACTCTCAAAGCCGTGATTCCCATTCACCTCCATTATAAGACTGACAGACTGCAACGGTTTGTGTTAAAAATCTTCGTTTGTGTTCTGCTGAAGAAACAAAGTCACCTACATCTTGGATGCCCTTGGGGGTAAGTATATAAACATCAAATTTTCATTTTTGGGTGAACTATCCCTTTAAGTATAGAGCTAAATCTTTACTATTATATTACAGTAATGCATATTTATTTATAATTAAGCACATTTGACTTAAAATATGACCCTTTATCTGAGAGAGTTTAAAAAACAAGAAATTTACAAAAAATAAATCTGCTAGGTGTTTCATGAATGAAGCTCATGGATTCTGTTTTACACAAACTCACTTTAAAGTACTGACAACATCCCAACAACATCTCAAAACCTACGTTTTAATATAATTTTTAGCTCCATTACATTTAGTGCACCTACAGTATGAAGACAGTGTCCTTCCTTTAAGATATTTTACCTCAGTGGATCATGTATCAGTATGAAACTCAAACAATAATCACCAGATACAGTATATACACAATTATAAAAACACTCATTCCGGCCCAAACTATGGACTACACCACCTCTTCCTTTACTTATCGCATGATAGAGACTTCCTTTTGCCAGACACCATCAGCAAAACAGCAAATCCTGAGGCCATCGATGCCGTTTGCTCTGGTAGACGAAGTCGGCTCATTCAGGCGAGAGGGGAACATGAGGCTCAAGCAAAAAGGAATTGAAACCAAAAGTGCTTGAGTTTGTTACTCCTTTTGTATCTTCTGGGGCACATGCCAAGTCCAACGATACAACGAATGCAAGGCATCCACCAACTGAAGCAGCTTTCGGTGAAAGAGCCCAAGCTTTCTGTGAAACATGATGTTTGTTTGGTGCCGTCGATTCACTCAAAAAGATAAGTGCACCATTGAAAGGGCAAAAAAAAAAAAAAAAAAGACAAACCAAACCAGAATAACTTTTAAACACTGTCTTTCAAGGACGCCGTGTCCAACCATCCAACCAAATTTTGACTGTCATCGTCACTGCTGATGTTGTTTCATTTGAATTCCCACACAAGGGGGAACGCGAACGAAAGGCAAATGTTTTATCCGAAGAGGTCCTTAAGATCGTTGTTGACTGAAGCGCTTTGCTTCATCACCCCAGCGTTGATTGTTGAAGAGGCCACAGGTTGCGAGAAGTTCTGAGGATTGAAGAACGGGTTTGCTTGCATTCCAAAGCCACCCTGAACTCCCGTCATCCCCATTGGAGTCGCCTGCATGGGTGCAGTCTGGCCTGTACCAAACTGATTGAGCCACGGGGAAGGTGCAGTGGCTACTGGGGCCGGTTTAGGGGCCATTTGGTTCATGCTGACTTTGGGTTTGCTAGAAGTGAAGAGGGAGTCTAGGGCGGACATGTCATTGGGCTTGCTGGGTTGGTTTTGGTTCTGGGTGAGGGCACTGAAATTTGGAGTGCTGGTAGTGGTGGCCATGCCTCCGTAGAGGCCTGGAGCAGCGGGTCTCATGCACATTCCCATACCTCCCGTCTGGAATCCCATGGGTGAGTTGAAACCATTGCTGACGCCCATGGTGCCCATTCCACCCATGGTGGGTCCAGCTGGCAAGGTAGAGGATATAGTGCCGCCCTGCATGGGCATCGTCCTGGTCCCAGAGTTCAAAGAGAGGTTTTTCAGAGATGTCATGTTGTTCAGAAGACTGCTGGTCAGATCCTTTGCCTTGAACAATAAAAGTAAATAAAATAAATATTAAAAAAAAAAAAAAAAAAAAAAAAAAAAAAAAAAAAAAAAAAAAAAATTTTTTTTA